GGAAGATCCCTCAGATTTTGAGATCCCTACCCGAGGTAGAACAAATGACAATGATTTTTCTTATCTTTAGGGTCTCCCATTAATGAAATTGATTGTTGTCAAATTTTATTTTGGGGGAAAAAATGTTTTTTTGGTTGTTCTTTAGAACTACCCCAATCCCTGAAAAAGAGCCAAATTAGACCAGGCCGAATGTGGGAAAGGTGACAAAAAAGCCCATAACTTGAGAATGATCACTCTTTTTCTCTTCAGATTTGCTGAGGTATGAACCAGGTGGCTAAGATACATCAACAAATATTTAATTATTTAACTAAAAAAATACTCTTAACCTCTTAATCCAGATATCTCACCATGACTTGCGTATGCATGCACGTGCACGGTGTGGCGTGACCACCAAAACAGAAAGATATGGACACAAGATGTGTGCAAATGTATTTAGTTTCCTATCCATGTGAACATGATTTAAGTGGGGGGGGACCTAATCTTCAGGGGGGTCCGGGGGGCATGCTCCCCCGGGAAGATTTTTTTTAAAATATTGAAGTTAAAAGCATCAATCTGGTGCACTTTGAGAGCAAAATTAGGAGATCTATGGATACATCTCTCAACACCCATATGAAACAGAACTGGAAGCAGATTTATTTTTCTTTATGAATATTTGACAAATCACTCCCCTTTCAAACTGTATTCTTCTTTATTAATAACAACTTTTTTTTACTGTCATATAGTATTTTATACCCGTTTACTTTATTCTCTTATTTTTTTATAACTATTATGATCATATAAAGATGTGCCTTTACCTCACTGGTTGTAGAAAAAGCTTCTTATATTCGTTAGCATAGCTAGCTAATAACAACAAAGTTATTGACTGTATGATCAGTATGACAGATGAACAGATCGCCACTGGGCTTTCAACTAAAGACACAGTCACGCAAAAACTGCGGCATGTGTACGGCTCCTTATCGGTACTGACATTTCTGAAGTGCTGGAGTGGCGTTCTGGTGCTCTCCGTCAGAACTGCACCCCTGTCAGTCGAGACATATACCATGTGATGACAAGTTAGGCTCGTGTTGTGTTCAAGGACCCTGACCTTGGCCAGGAAAAACAGGCACTCGCTTGTTTAATTTTTTTGCGGTCTAGATTTCTTACATTTTTTTTATTTTTTGCGTTTATAAATTACCTTGAGGGCCGTACCAAATTGTCTCGCGGGCCGTATACGGCCCGGAGGCCGGAGGTTCCCCACCCCTGGTTTAGACGAAAATGGTACTTTTGGTAATAGGAACATAGGACTCAATCACTTTTCTCTCATTTATCAGAAAAACAGTAATCCCTAAAAAATATACCATTACTGAATTGTCTAGGGTACTATTGAAGACTAACCAGTAGTTGTATGGCAATATCTGGTACAGTTCTATTTCAAATGAGATTTCTTTAGACATAGGCCTACCTCTTCTCTGATACAGTCAAATTCCGAATGGGGGATAAGTGTCATAATAGCCTATAAGTTAAGATAGCTCACTTTGTTGGTCATTATATTTGTAGAGGGAAATATCAGGTGGCTGAACTACATCACCAAATAGTCAGAATAAGAGTAACCCAATAAAATAAAGTGTATCAGTTCTAAATTGCAAGCCTCTAAGTCTAAAACATAGGTGTAAATAGTACAGGTTTTATTGAAACTGGAATCTTAATTCAAAGTACAGTATACAAATCATCAAATAATTCGGTGAGAGGTCAAGTATATAGATACTAGAATATAATGTTAAATGTCAGGTTCCTCAGAAACGTTAGGGGACACATTTTGACATTCTGCACAGCAGGTGCAGAACCCCGTACAGGGAAGGCCAACAGAGAGTGTTGTGGATATATTAAACTCGTCAATACTGTAAAGATGTACAATGAGAGTAATCAATAATAAACTGGTGAAAACAAGCAGCGTTGTCTTTTGGGTTATTTATTTGAAGCTTCAAAGGTACATGTCTCACAGAGTACAGAGTAGTCTGCAGAAGTGTGCGTAATAGTCACAGAATAGCAAAGCTTATATACAAGATAGCGCCCTATCTTGTATATAAGCAGACAGAGTTTTGTGTAGCACGCCTCAGAAATCTGCTTTCACACAGATGTCTCATATCGCTATTAGACACCTGTGTCCTTGAGCTACAGAAAGTATAACAGTTAGCAAAATATGGAAGTTCTAACTTAGTGTGAAGAGGAGTAGTTTCAACATAGTCTGCCAAATCAGCCCTGTGGCCTTGAAGCGCTTGAGAATAATAATCCTCATTAGAGTATGCAGAGGAAACGGCAAATATGAAGAAATGGTACAGTAGTGTTAAACAATGCTTTTAGAAGCATTTGGTTTTAGCATATAAGGTAACATAATAAATTGCCACTACAAGAGGCACTGGCACTTTCCACTCCCTCCACACTTTGCATCTTTGCAATACAAGTGAGTAATGTCTCTCACTTATGTAGGTGCTGGGGGTTTTGTAAATAGCAGTGGTTGAATGGCCCCATCTCTGACAATCCAGCCCTTGCCAATAGGACTCCATAACAAGGGTTTGGGTTCGGCCTGTGACACCATATCGCTGTCTGAAACATTGCTCTTTACATGTTGTTGAAATGCATCCTCTGTTGGCGGCAGATTTTCCGAGGCTGCATCTTTTGTTGATGCAATTATGAACCTCAGTTCATCCAAGTTTGTGCACATCAGTCCAATTTCCTTTTTCTTTTTTCCATATAGCAGAAGTGCAAATTCTCTTGCGACTGGCAAATACTCTTCCAAGCTGACAGAGAGTCCAAAATGTGAGTGCAGCCAGTGAGTGCATGACATGCTGGTAGACAGTTAGACATGTAGTTGTCGCCCAGCTTCAGGACCATCTCCAACTAAACGGCCTCTTTGAGAAATTCCAGTCTGGTTTCCGTTCCGCCCACAGCACTGAAACAGCTTTGTGGCTTTGTTTTTTTTTTGTTACTTCCCGTTGTAAAGCGTCCTTGGGTTTCGTGAAAGGCGCTATAGAAATTGAAATTATTATTATTAACACTGTACATATTATTGTTTGCCCGTGGGATTAGGATTATCGGTAGTGAGAGCCACTGCGGTCAACTCGGCCATCTCTCGCGTTTGCTTGGTCAAATGAGCAGTTCTTCATTTTTGAGTGCGCGATTTATAGCGCCTTTACGGTAATTGCTGAGAAGCGGCACTAACGCAAGAGTAAAAGAATGCATGTTTTTCTGCTTCATGCGATACAAATTATTTTTACCATAAATTCTTAAATAAACTAACACTGTTTGACTCAGTCCTATTTTGACTGCTACCAACAATAAAATGAAGTACTTTTACTGTCTTTTTTCTGGGTAATACTCTCAAATTCCCTTCCTGAGAACAAAATCATGCCACTTCTGCTATATTTGATGAGATAAAATGATTTTTAGCCATACATTCTTAATAAAACGGATACTGTTGGACTCAGTACTTGTTAGACTACTACCACAAGTACAATCAAGTACTTTTACTGTGTACTTTTTTAGTAATACTCTGTCAAACTCCCCTCCCGAGTACAATAATTCATGTATTTGTTATATCAGATACCTCTACTGTAGATCTATCCGCTGTTCCACTGTGGCAGCTTTTTAATCACTGCCCCCCCTGGTGGATCCATGATCCATTGCAGCTGGTTTCATTATAATTAAATGTATTTATCAAGGGGGCGTATCAAGTCCTGTGGGGGGTTTTCCTTTTCAGCAGGGGCCCACCCCGTGCAGATCACGGACCCGCACGGGTAGGCGTCTGAAATGAAGTGCTACATCTGTAGGTGTTAATTTAACTCCATTTAGCTACTTTTCGTCTTGCCTGAAACCGTTAAATATCCAACCACTCACCTCACTTTGCCTGTCCGTCAGTGGTTCATCAGCCGAAAATATCTGCGCACTGTCACATCACTTTAAAAAAAACGTAATCATCCGCTGCTTTGCTTTTCGTAGTCATCATCAATCTGTCAGGTTGAAGTTCTTCTTTTGATAATGGCGAATCGAAACCAGTTGGTTCACTTGTATATCGTAATAAAAAAAAAGTCATGTCCCTGTTAAATGCCTTCATTCAATGAAAACAACTACAAGACCGGGACTATTTTCACCACACAGGAATATGTCATCGCTACTGCCATGTTATCAGGCCATGGAAAGTTGTAGAACAATACAAATCACAACTCTCACTGTTCAGTCAAATTTACTATGATTTACAGGTCATTGAGCTGGCTTACAAAGCTGAGTTTAACTATTAACAACTTATGAAACTAAGTAGAAATTGCATAAATTTATATATTAAGTGAAAGTAACTTAAAGAAAAAAGTTACAATAACTTAAAGATCAAATCCTTTTTTACAGTGTACTGTTTCAGAAATAATGCTTGAAGTGGTTTGGAACATAATATGGCATTTAATCATGGCAGCGTTTAGCTGAGTTTCTCCTGGTAGAAAACTCTCTTAGCAGGGGAGAGCTGGGTGACGCTACAAAGGGGCGTGGCTAGCAGCAGCTGTTCCATTTAAAGCTATGGTCACAGAATCAGCCTTTTTGGAACAGGGCTGGAATAGAGGGGTATGAGGCATGGCTACAATGGGTGATCTGTTTGTGAAGTTTTTTGCTTAAAATATCAGTCATGTTTTGTATAGGTATGGCCCTACAATATATTTGTAGTATTACCATTCTATAGGCGTAGTGTAGCTGTGAACGATCCCAAATACAATTCATTGTTTACATTGCAGCTAGTGCTAAACCAGAAGAAATGACCCTTTTTCATTTTTAACTGGAAGTGAAAAGGGGCTGGGCTACATAAGGTGAATTGAGCCAACAAAAACACACAATAGTTGGGACTAAGAAAGATAATATTAAAGTATAAAAACAAAGGCATTATTAGGGCTGAAAAATGTCTCCCAGTTTAATGGTGATTAGATTTTTAAATGCTAACACTTAACAGTTTTTTCTGACTGTGTGTTTCCTGTTTCCTGCAGACGTCCAGCAGCTGGTGGTGGTTAAAGAAGAGGTTCTCCCTGACCAGCAGGAGTGGAGCACCAGTCTGGACCAGGAGGACCCAGAGCCCCCCCCACACATTAAGCAGGAACAGGAGGAACTCCGGATCAATCAGGAGGGAGAGCAGCTTCAGGAGCTGGAGGAGGCTGATATCACCAAGTCCACTTTCACTCCTGATCCCGTGAAGAGTGAAGATGATGAAGAGAAACCTCAGTCCTCACAGCCTCATCAAAGACAAACTGAACACATGGAAACAGAAGCTGATGGAGATGACTTTCGAGGACCAGAACCAGCCAATAACTCGGATCCAGAGAGCAGCTTACAACCAAAGACTGAGGACGACACTGAACCTGATTGGAAGGAGCCCAGAGAACCTGCATCAGGCTCAAACTCACTGAAAAATAGACATGAATTTGTCAGTGATCTACGACGTAGTGCTGCAAAGAGACCATTGAGCTGCTCAGTCTGTAAGAAAGCTTTTTCACTGAGTGGAAATTTAAAGGTACACATGAGAGTCCACACAGGAGAGAAACCCTTTAGCTGCTCAGTTTGTATGAAAGCTTTTTCACAGAGTGGAAGTTTAAAGGCACACATGAGAGTCCACACAGGAGAGGAAATATACAGCTGCTCAGTCTGTGAGAGAGCTTTTTCATGGAGTGGAAGTTTAAAGGCACACATGAGAGTCCACACAGGAGAGGAAATATACTGCTGCAATGTTTGTGACAAAAGATTTAAATGGCGTAATCATTTCAATAGACACAAGTGTGGTGGTCGTCAGTCCTCAAAGCTTAATTAAATTCAAACTGAGGATAACTGAGAGGCAGAGCCTCCAATCAGCAGCTCAGCTAAACACATTGAAACAGAAGCTGATGGAGATGACAATGAATAAGTCTTAAGACAGTTCACACATGAGAAAAATCTGCCTGACTGGATCAACATTGTTGCACAGCATTCATATAAGACTTAAATGAACTCTATCTTTATCAACATAATTGGACAATATGTTTAATGTTTTTGTCATACTGATTTTCTGATTTATACGTTAACCACTGATGCCGTTACATGTAATACGTTAGAATAGAATAGACCACTGATGAACCATTTTATTGTGGATTGAGCGCTCCATATAGAGATATAGGATGATTTGATGTATTCTCTATTTCTAAATGTTTTGTATCATTGCTATCCTGTTAATGAGCCCTGTTTTACATAAATATACCTGTTATCTGATTGTTTTTGCTTCTGTAACTGTAAGGGAACATATTTGCCTATTTTGTATCCTGATGACCTAATGCCGTTACATGTAATACGTTAGAATAGAATATCTTTATTGTCATCACACATCAGTGTAACGAAATTCAGTTGGCTTCTCTCACTGCAGTACATAAATAAGAACACATCCATAAAATAAGTGATAAAGCAGAGATAGTAGCAATAGTCAGGGTCATCACTTAAATGCACTTTACCAGAATGTTAAAATACATTTTTAAAGATTATTTAATAAAGTAAAGCTACAATGTTTAAATATAAATAGTTACTAAAAATATCTGTTTGCTACTTAGTAGTAGTAGTATAACCTTTATTTAGCCAGAAAAATCAATTAAGAACCAAATGCTTATTTTCAATGATGACCTGACATGAGCCAAAATGCTTCCTGAGGGGATGGGGGTTGGGAGGAAGAAAATAAAAAGACAGACTCTGGGCACTACAGAACCCAGGAGACCACACAATGACACAGAGCAGAGATGACAGGCATAGCAGTTAAACATATAACATCTCTAAAACAATACTGCTGTGGTTCAATCAGTCATTAAAATAATATAGAACATTCATCCATTCAATCATTCATTCATCCATTCATTCCTTCATGGCAATGCACACTATAGGAGAGGTCAAGACATTGGTAGTGAGCATCAGGCAAAGCAGTTGCATGTGTGTACCAGGGTGTTTGTAATAGTGTCCCTGAAGGTGCGGGGGGAGATAAAGGTCTTCATTTTCAAGGTTTTTTGTATGATATTCCAGCTATTAGCTGCTGCAAACTGAAAGGCGGAGCGGCCAAAGGATGTATGGGCTTTGGGGATCTTTAGCAGTATGTTTGTAGCTGACCGGGTGTTGTGCGTCGGGGTGGGCGGAGTTGCAGTAATTGTGAAGGGGGTGAGGCCTAGGAGTGTTTATAAACAAACATCAGCCAGTGCATGTTGCACCTGGGCCCTTTCTCATTTCATCAAGTCCCCCTCCTCGATTCCTCGGTCCTCCGGTAGTGACCCGGAAATGAATTTCAGCGCGCCATGTTGAAGGACATCTCATTTCTCTAAATGCACTTCGAGGACCGAGGATCGAACGTCAATGAGGCTCTCTGGAGGAGCTATAACCGAGGATACACTGATGGTTCCTCCACGGCTCCTCCACGGATGCATTTCCGGTAACGGTGGAGGCGTGACGCACGGCCGGACTTATCTCAGCCAATGACAGCTCTGCATGCATCCCCTGGATATTATTTTAGAAACTGCTTTCGTTGCGATGTTTCCAGAGAGAACAGCTGCGGGGTCCATGCAGAAAGCAGAGCAGTGCGTGTATAATATATATCACTCAGTATAACAGGCCTACTCTCTTTATTTGCTTTAGTTTAGTAGATAACCCATTGTAAAGCGTCCTTGGGTTTCGTGAAAGGCGCTATATAAATTGAAATTATTATTATTATTATTATTATTATAACTACAAACAATCGATATTTTTCTAAGACCATTTAGTGCTTCACATAATAAAATACACAACGGCTGTATCCTGATTATGCTTTAGGAGCTGTAGGTGTGTGTGGTACAGTGTGTAGGTGTGTGTGTTGTACAGTGCGTAGATGCGGCGGACAGACGGGTCTCAGTTGGTTTGGTGTCCTCTGCTTACTTTTAATACTTGTAAATACAACTTTTGGCACGTAATTTCAATTCCCCATTTCAGCGACCAGAGAGAGGGGGGGATATATCCAGTCTCTGATTGTGTTACGTTATTATGAGAGTACTCTCATACTTCAATTTTTAAATTGTATATATTCATAACTATATGTGTGTGTGTCTACATCTGTAGCCTGTTATTGTCTCATTATACCGCACTCTCAATGAATTCAAAGTAAATATATAAGTGGTCATGAACACATCTGTCCAAGCTGCTGTGCCTCCTGTCATCATTAATGGACGTCTCTTTAAAATGACCTCTCAGAGGAGAGGAGTTCTCATTTCTCTAACTGCCTGCTGCTTCCCCTCCTCTCTCCTCGGTTCCCCTCCTCAGTCCTCCGCTCGCATCTCCTGTGGGCGGGACTAAGTCTCGAGGAGGGGAGTCGAGGAGGGGAAATTTAAGAATTGAGAAGCCTCTAGTGGCTTTTGGCAAAGCTGAAAAATAAAACTCGAGAGAGATGAGTTATTGTTATTACAACGTGACTTCACTATTATTTAACAACTGTTTTTATTGGGTTCTTTTATAGGAATCTTTTATACTTTTATGATAGCTGTCGAACAGAAGTTAAATCCATGTCACACTTATTCTGACAATGTACTTAACCCCAAATAAAATAACCCAATAAAAACAGTTGTTAAATAATAGTGAAGTCACGTTGTAATAACAATAACTCATCTCTCTCGAGTTTTATTTTTCAGCTTTGCCAAAAGCCACTGTATCAAAGGTCCTACTTGGGTTGCCGTCCGGAGTTGTCCAATATGGCGGACCATCTCGCACATGCGCAATTTAAATCGGGCAGGGATGCAGATCGGATAGTCGGATTATACATCCATGATAGTCACACTGGTCCAGGTGGCGTCTCGTCGCTACGGTTCTCTCTCTCTGTGGTCCTGAGAAAGTGTGTGTGAGCTCCAGCACTACTGATCCATCATCTGTGTGTTTGGATAAACCTCCGAATGGACTGTGCTCTTTTTTCTGGAGTGTTTACCTCGGACTATAGGAGCTAGTTTAGCATGCTAGTTGGAAACACGTTGGCACACTTGTCAGATTGAGAGTTTGATGGAGAGAAAGAACCAGTGTGTTTAACGGAGTTTGCAGGATAAGGTGATCTAGTCAACATGAGTAAAGTCCAAATGCTGCTGTCGTTGAAGAAGCAGCGACTCACTGCTGAAGAGATATTTGCTATTGAAAAAACGATGGCAGAGTACGAGGAGGAGCTGTATCGTTCAAAAGAGGAGAACGAGAAACTCCAGAAACTACTGGACGCTGTTTTACAGCCTCAGCTTCGGATACACACAGCAGGTCTGTTCCCTTTACTCTTAATTAACACTTTAAACCAGGGGTGTCCAAACTACGGCCCGGGGGGCAAATGCCCCTGCCCATTTTGAATCGGCCCTCAGCTAATTCAAAAAGTATAATGAAATATGAAACTGAAAACTTGTGCTTTTATCATATTGTACTACTTAAATATATATGTATATTACACAGTAGTATTCATGTGTCAATTCATGTTAATAACATTTTGATAACATTTTCTAACAAATCTTAGTGGATAAAAAAAGCCTAATAACTTATTTACATAACAAGCTTGAAGGTAACACTTTACAATAAGGTACACAAAATGTGCTTAGTTACTGCTTAGTTACTGAGGAACTACTAGATAGTTAATGGTTAGTTAATGAGTAGTTCCTCAGTGACTGCGATTGAGGAACTGATGGTTAGTTACTGGTAAACAGACTGGGGGTACTGTATTAACGAATCATTCGTTAATGGTTAGTTAATGAGTAGTTCCTCAGTGAACTTATGGTTAGTTACTGGTAAACAGACTGGGGGGTACTGTATTAACGAATCATTCGTTAATGGTTACTTAATGAGTAGTTCCTCAGTGACTGCGATGGATGGTTAGTTAGTTACTGGTAAACAGACTGGGGTACTGTATTAATGAATCATTCGTTAATGGTTACTTAATGAGGAGTTCCTGAGTGAACTAATGCTTAGTTACTGGTAAACAGACTGGGGTACTGTATTAATGAATCATTCGTTAATGGTTACTTAATGAGGAGTTCCTGAGTGAACTAATGCTTAGTTACTGGTAAACAGACTGGGGTACTGTATTAATGAATCATTCGTTAATGGTTACTTTATGAGGAGTTCCTGGGAGACTTTGATTGAAGCAATGGTCCTCTGCAGCAGGGCACATTTAAACCTGCCATCTTCGGCTGGCTTGGGTCCCACCCTGGATCAACTGGTGGAGGTGGATCCGATTTACCTTACCATTACTTAGGCCGTTTGGGTATGGTAAACTCAAGGAACGCAAACAAAAACAGTAGTTACCCATTACCTAATGATTACCTTACCGTTACTAAAACAGTAGTTACCCATTAAGTAATGCTTACTTAACCATTCGTTAAGCAGTGTGTGTCCCCTCAAGTAAAGTAATGCATGAAAAACAGTAGTTACCCATTACCTAATGTCTACTTAACCATTCGTTAAGCATTGTGTGTCCCCTCAAGTAAAGTAATGTATCAAAAACAGTAGTTACCCATTACCTAATGTCTACTTAACCATTCGTTAAACAGTGTGTGTCCCCTCAAGTAAAGTAATGCATCAAAAACAGTAGTTACCCATTACCTAATGCCTACTTAACCATTCGTTAAGCATTGTGTGTCCCCTCAAGTAAAGTAATGCATCAAAAACAGTAGTTACCCATTACCTAATGTCTACTTAACCATTCGTTAAGCAGTGTGTGTCCCCTCAAGTAAAGTAATGCATCAAAAACAGTAGTTACCCATTACCTAATGCCTACTTAACCATTCGTTAAGCAGTAAACAAATAAACAAACCCTGTGCACTCAAGTTTACATTTTTATTTAAACAACAATCCAAAGGACACTAATAATGAAAACAAGGTTGCATCAGAACTTGCAAAAGTGGCGTATGTCATGCAGCAATCTGCCTAAGGGACCATCTTTGTGTTCATTTGCCAGCCAATGTGTCCACTCGATCAAAGCAAGATGACTCTTCAGAGTCTTCACTGTGCGGTTTCCTCGCAGTCTCCAGACCTGTGACTTGTACGTTGACCAAGCCCGCTCAATGTTTTGGGTGTGGGCTCCTGTGTCTGGGTTCACAAATGACCGGCTGTGGTTCACAGAGAAATGGACAAAGCCACTTTCTGCGATTGCAGTGGTGTATGCCCTCCACATGTCCGTTATCACCGTGGTCCCTTGGCGAACGTATTTTGTGACCAGAGGAATTAAGTGGCGCCGTGATCTTTGTTTCACC